ATAATCTTATTATATTTATCTTCAATAGTTAAGTTCGTCATTTTGATTAGAATTTATTTATAAAAATGAGAAAATATCTAGAAAATAAGAATATGAATCATTTCATAGCATTATATATTTTTAATATAATATTATTGTGTTAATTACATAGATATTTCGACTTGTTGAACCAACATGTGAAGGAATACGAAGTAGAATTGATCTACTTGGTGAACTCATATCATGCAATAAAGTTGATTCCATAGATGAGGTGTACGATGAAATGAAAGAGATTATCGCAGCAACTGAACGAAACGATCGTTTTCAATCAGATTTATACGGAAAACGTCTTCTAGAGTTAACGACTGCAGCAAAAAGCAATTTAAATATTGACTTGTACAATTTGGATGTCGAGATACAACGTCAATTCGGACTTTATTCTGTTGAGGTCACCGGCGATGGTGTAAGAATCAATATTTATATACACGTATATATTGAGTTGCTATTATTTTTTGTTTTTATAATTGACTTAATAGGCATGTGCCTTTCGAGCCATTCTCATTTCGGTTAAGTATCTTGCAAAAATTTCAAATGAATGTATAAAGTTTTAAAAAAATCTTTTTCTTTTCGAAAAATAGGACTGCAGCAACCTGATGTGTATCATAGCGAGTTACGCGAAGGGGCTATTCTACAAGTTTTGAATGATATTCCGTATTACTCAACTGTACTTCGACCTGGAGAAAAGGTGAGTGAAAAAGAATTGAAAGATTGGGTAAATTCAATGGCTGATCCAAATACCTATGGAGATGAAATGGCGAATATAGCTGTAGCAGATCGATATCACATTCAATTAGTTATTTTTCGTGCTGGAGAATTACTCACTGTCGTTAATCCATGCGATGGATACGTTAAACATACAGCATTTCTTATCAATGTTGGTACACATTACAAGGCACTCGTTCCTCGATGTGAACTCGAAGAAGCACGTAGAAATTCGGAACGTTTGTCTAAGCACAATAAGTTAAATTTGTTGAGCACTAGTACTAATTAATCGCGGTTTATTTTTATAGAATGACTGCTCGATTATTTCTAAATTACGAATATTTATCCGATAGTCGTCGTGAAATAATAAAAATTATTCTTTCTGTTTTCATTAATAAATCTTTTTCTCTATTTGTCGATATCAAGCGACTAATTTTAAACATTTCGAGCAATACTCTAATATTTGACGTGATCAATTCTATTCTTCGGTCGTAATTATAATCCAGAAAAAAGAATAGTGAACAGTGTTGTATTGGATCGTTGCCTTTGTCTCTTTGAAGAAGGCCAAACTCATTTGCCATTTAGATATACTTTTATTTCGTGATGTGATTTCGAAAAGACGATTGCTCTATGTGAGAATGACATGTTATCGCTTTGAACGTTGATGAGTAAACATTCTTTTCTTTTTGTTTCTTTCTTCCTATACGAAGACATATTCGAGAGAGCGTAACGAAACGTGTGTGTTTATTTCAT